TACTACTACTACTACTACTACTACTACTACTACTACTACTATTACTACTAGCTTAATTATGGCATGTATCAAGTAGGCTTTTGTGGACCAACCCAGTAAACTGACCACAATTTATAATCTTACTTCTAGGGAAAGAATATGTTACACATTCAAAACCACCACAGAATTATAAGATCAAAATAAGCTTCTGAATATTTCCTAAAATCATAAAATGGGGACTACCTACAGAAAGAACATGAAATATCTGGATAATCATGAGAAAAAAGTGTCCCCACATAAAGAAATTTTATTTATTCAGATAACTGAATATTGTTACCTCATTAAGCAATGAAATTGTTTATTTTAGCCATTTTTGATACAAATCTTTCTAAAATGTATTATATACTTCTCAGACTTCTAAAATAGAGTATATTGAACATAATTTAATATTGTCTTGATGATTCCTGATCATTATGAGAAACATCATTGCACTGGCTTATAATACAAATTATAATGTAATATTATTTAACTCTATATTAAATTACCACAGACTGCAGTACTTTTTGAGTTCTTGGGTTTATTTTTTTTTTTCATAGTTTTTCCTGTATCTTAATGAAGGACAAGCTTTTACCCTTGTGGGGATGGCTAAGGTATAAATTTTCTGCAGTCCCTCCTAGTCCTAGAAAGTCAGAATATAAAATAATTATCATTTGCATAATTCTCAGGTAAGAAGTGAGCTATTGACATTAGAAACACTATTCACCAGGCCAGCGTACCTACTAGGCCACTAGACTTGACATCTGGTCATCCTGATCTTTATTAGTTATAAAGTCATTTAACTTCCCTGTGCTCTTGGCTTGGGGATAATATTTGTTTCACGTGGGATCATCCCTCACATGGGATGTTGTGAGGAAAGCACTTTGCAAACAATTAAAAAGCATGCTACAAATGAGTCATTCTTATTAGTGCCCCTCACCCTTTGATTGACTTCAACACTTGATAAGAGACTTAACAGTAGTCTACTAGGCATAGTGCTGGACTTCACAGCAGGCAAACGAGGGTCCAGGTGCATCTGAGCTTTCTCCTTACTCTGTGTATAACTTGGGGTAAGTCCCTTCTCTCTGAGTCTCACTGGCCTCTGCTGAAAATACAAGACTTAACTCAATGGCCTTTTGATTGCCTTCCAGCTCTAATTCTATGATCCCCGCAATGATTCTCAGATTGTGTGCACGACTGCAAAGATTCCTTTGCTTCTCTGTTATTCACTTTGGTTTACCTGACCAGTGCTAATCTAGGGAAGTTCTTCCTTCTTAGTCTTAACTTGGAAAAGGTCAGAGACTATTCTGTTAACTCCTCTCCACTAAACTGTGTTCTTCCTCATCTTTCTAAGTTCAAAGCTACACAAAGTTCAAAATCATTTGTTTTTACAGTTCACCCATTCTGTGCACTTTACTGAGAAAATAAAGATCATTCACCATGAGCTTCCTCTTCTCCTTCTTCTTTAAATCTCACCCCCATTCTTATCTTCTGTTTACTCCAGTTTCTGATAAAAAGATAGCCCTTCTCATCGAGACCAACACCTTTTCTTGTATGTTCTGGATCCTCCTATTTCTTTTTGGGTGATAGCCTCCACAATCATCCTCTCTCTCTGATCTTCAATTGCTCCTTATCTACTAGCTCACGAACTGCTTACAAACATGCCCTGGTCTCTTCTGTCCTTAATACTTGACTTTGCCATCCCCTCAAGATATTGTTCTACATCTCCCCTCCTTTCCATCGTCAAACTCAACGAAAAAATTGTCTATATTGCCTGCGATTCTTCTCTTCTGACTCACTTCTCAAATCCTTAAAATCTGGCACCCAGTCTCACCACTCAACTGAAGCTGCTCTCTCCCAAGTTGCCAATGATCTTTAATTGCCAAATCCAATGACTTTTTCTTAGTCTTCCTCCTTTGAGACATCCCTACAGCATTTGACACTACTGACCATTCTCTCCTCCTAGACAGTCACTCCTCTCCTGACTCCCCTTCCTCCTAGTCTGACCACTCCTTTCTCCATCTCCTGTGCTAGGCCATCATCTGTATCTCACCCCCTAACTAGAGGCATATGCCAAGGCTCTATCTTCTGGACTCTTCTTTCTCTACATTCACTCTCTTGCAAACATCATTAGCTCCCATGGATTAATTATCTCTACACAGGTGACTACTAGATACAACCAGCAACTGTCTGTCTCCTGAGTTACAGTCCTAGCATCATCAACAACCTAATAGACATTTCCAACTTGTTCCACAAGCATCTCAAACACATATCCAAAACAGATCATTATCTTTCCCCGAAAATCCACCCATCTTCCTAATTTCCCTCTCTGTGTCAAGGGAAACATTAGCTTTCCAGTCACCCAGGGCTGCAATCTGGGCGTCATTCTCAACTTCTTATTCTCCCTCACTGGGTCTAATCAGTAACCAAATCTTGCTGATTTTCGCTCCTATGACATCTCACATTCATCCCCTTCTCTCAGAGACTCACATGGACGCCACCTTACTTTAGGCCCTCATAACGTCTCACTTAGACTCTTGCAGTAGTTTTCTAATTGCTCTCCCTGTATCAAGTCTCTTCCCTTTCTAAAATACCCTCCACTTAGCCGCCAAAGTCCTTTTCCTAAATACAGTTCTCCCCTGCTCGGTAAACTACAGTCACTCCCTGTTATCTCCAAAACAACATAAAAACTCCTCTGTTGGCCATTTAAAGTCCTTCACAACTTGGCTCCAACCCAACCTTCCCAGCGTTATTATCCATTATCCCTCTTCACGTACTCCACAATCCGGCCAGACTTGTCTTACTGCTCTTCTTCACACTGGACAGTCTATCTCCCATCTCTGTGCCTTTACACAGGCTGTCCTCCATGCCTAGAATGTGCTGTCTCTGCAGAGGTGACACTGTCTCTTGGAATCAATTTCCTCAAAAATTCAATTCAAATGCCACCTACTATATGAGGCTGCTAACACTTCCCTCTAAGATTACTTTGTATTTATTCTGATATATTTTTATATCCTTAAATGTTGTCCCCTTACCCTTAGAATATAAGCTCCCTGAGATCAGGAACTATTTAATGTTTGTCTTTATACCTCCAGTGACTGGCTTATAGCAAGTGATCAATAAATTCTTACTGATAATTGAGCTGGCACTAATCAACACAAGCAACCCATTTTCCAAAACCAAGCTTAAGTACTACAGAAGTACATACTTCTGCATTAAGATACAGTCTAGGTTAGTTATGTGTGTATCTATTTGTTTATTACTTGTGTCTTCATCTTTTCCATATTGGTCCTATCTTCCTCATTAAGTTGGCCCTATAAGGAAGTGTTATACATTTCTTGATTTTCTTCCTATATACATATGTATATAGCATACATGTATGTAGTACACACACCCCTAGTTCCAGATTCTATTAATGTAGCTGACCTACAGAAATAAATAATTGGTAAACATTTAAGTGATTCCTCTATGTCAGGCACCAGGCATGGTGCCAAATGCTGGGAAGGCAAACACAAAGGTGAAAGAAACCCCATCCTTAAGGAGCTGATATTCTCATGAAGAAAACAACACATACATATGTAAGTGTATACAGAATATCTACCAAATGAGTATCAGGTAATTTGGAGATGGAGGGCACTGGCAGGTGAGGGAAAGTTGGAGATCAGGAAAGGCTTCACAGACAAGACAATACTTCAGCTAAGTTTTGAAGACAGTCTATAGACCTGCTACCTTTTATTATTATGTTACTCTGAATAGAAATTTTTGTTTTGTTTTGTTTTGTTTTGTTTTTTGTTTTTAGGCAATTGGGGTTAAGTGACTTGCCCAAGGTCACACAGATAGTAAGTGTCAAGTGTTTGATCTGAGGCCGGATGTGAACTCAGGTCCTCCTGACATCAGGGCCGGTACTCTATCCCCTGTGCCACCTAGCTGCCCCTGAATAGAAATTTTTGATACAATATGTGTATGTCTCTCTGTTTTTCACCAACCTATTATGGCGGCTGGCTCTTCCTGCTACCTCTACCTTCAAAGGTTTTTTTCTTAACCACTGACTTGCACAGATAGACACTTAAATGTTTGTTGAACTGGATTGAATTCTGGAGTGGGGACAAGGAGGCAGAAAGACTGCCATAAGCCCAACCCACCTCACCTGCTCTGGCTGAATTCTCTGTGCCTGAAGAATTTGTAACACTTAGGAGTGTGGGAGTTGGGGGGCTGGCTATGGCATTTAGTTTCCCATATTTACAAAAGATCTTTACTCACAACACTAAGCCAAGATGCTAACCCTAGCAAGTTAGCACTAGTGGCTGAAGAACTGTGGGCTCTGGAAATCTAGGTTAAGTAGTTAAGCAACTAAAAACATGGGTATGAAGCACTAGACTAGCTGCTAATAACTATACTGCATTTTATGACATACCCCTCCCCTAAACACATTTTTTCACTTTAAAAAAAAATCAAGGTTTCCTTAGTAGTGATATTTTTAAGCCTCTCTACTTCTGTAATTTCTTTTTATTTCTAAGTCATGCAAATAAACACACACAAAACTCCCAAGCGCTATTCAATATACTTCATGGGTGAAAAAAACCTACAACAGAGTAATGGCAAGAAAACAGAGCAAATTTAACCAAGGAAAGGCTAAACACAAGGAGGCAAACTTATAGAGAAATAATCAAAAAAAGCTTTGCTTCAAAAGAAAAAGGTTGGACAATCCTCAGTATTATTTGTATTCAGAGAAATGAGAGAATAATGTATTTGTCACAGACACTTTAATTTTTAGTGGCCACACCTGGCCTGTTTATGTTTTTAGGGTGCCACTACATAACTCCCCTGGTTCTTCCTAAAACAACCATGCTGTGTAAGCACCATACATGGATAATTCTCAAAATGATATAATAAGGTGCTACTGGAAGAATTCTAGGGAGAGCAAATAATCAAACATCTATTCCTTGCTTCACAATATAATTGGATTTTTCTATCTTTATTTTCAGGTTAGGGCTTCAAGAATAACCCTGGAATAGAAGGAAAGCTTTTTTTTCCCTCGGATGGCAATTTATAATGACCACACACAGCTACAGCTATTGCCTAACTAAGGTGAGAGGGCCAGATCGAGTACAGCTAGGAAGGTGGGGAATGAGTCAGGGCCAGGAGCCTTCTGACCCAGAACCACCTTTGATCTATAGCACTTCTTATTTGGGGCTGGAACGTGTGAGACCCAGGCAGGCAATGACATTACTTGGGGCTCCCGCCTCTCAAGGGTCTAGCACTTCCATGATGATTGGCTGCAGAGGTACATAAAAACTTACCCTTCTGAATACAGTTTTGTTCTAGAAACTTGTATCCAAATTTATATTCGAGCCTCTGACCCCACAGACTTCCTAACTTGTCAGGTATCACTTAATTTCAAATCTCATAGGATCTTTTCTCATCTCTAACAATGATACCAAACAGCGTGTTGTATTCTGCCCAGCACAACAGATTCAAGCTGAAGACTGGATCTGAATGAACAATGCAGACTGAGGGTGATTATTTTTGTTTTAAAGGACAGAAAATGATTGATTATTCCTCAGCATGGAGTCATTTTCCCACAGAGCAATAAATCAGAACCCATTCTAACCTCAATGGCCTGTCATTCTGCTAAAATGAACTTTTCAACCATATACACAGGGTCTAGTTCAGAAAACTTGGTAGAATCTGAGGCAAATATAATGGGGAATGAAGACTTCCCCAACTTAACCTTAAAGAGGAAGTCTACTAATAAGTTATCTATTCCAATAATATCTAGTTCACATGTTCTTGCTAAGCAAGAGACAATGAAAATTCACTTGGCAGTGTTTTCTGATAGCACTTCTGAAAACAATACAAGAATGTTAAAAATGAGAGAAACTGACCAAACTTTTCAACATACTTATCAAGAAATGTGCAATATTTCCCTACAAGACTTGAAAAATAATAGTAGAGTGAAAAATATTCTCGTGGTTTTAATAAAAACTAGTTAGGATAAAATTTTGCCAAACAAATTTCTTTTAAAAAGTCATCTCAGAAAAATGAGCCTATAGCAGCTAAGGCTGCTGCCTGTTCAGTGTCATTCATTGGTTTTTAAAGTGTCTATGAATGCTATTTGCAAAGTAGGGACAGATTGTAAAGTTAGACATTAACTTACATGGCTGTTGAGTAAACTGCTTTTGTGTGATGTAATCCCTTCATTTTTTTGTAGGTTTTCAATCGCCATTTCAAGCTAAAGAAAATGTGTGCAGGAAAACAAAATAAAATGGAAAAAAAAAAAAAGGAAATCAGAGAGTTAGCATCAGCCAAGATTTGTTTTATTAATATCCAAATTATGATTAATGCTTCCTATCACAAAAGACTTGTGACATAAGGCAGGTAAATGAGGCACAGTATTTATGAAATGAAGCTGTAGCAAAGAAATGTTATTTCATGACAAGCAAAGGAACCAAAAAGCCTCTCAAACAACAAGCAGCCCAGTGAGGTCCGGTGCTTTAGCCTTGTGGGTTTGACTGTCATGAGCCGCACGTGGCATGCACAAGCACTCACTCCCATCAGCACAACTTCCCCCCCCATAGCAAAGAAAGCCTGATTGTTACCCCCTCTCAAGGGCTTAGCTCTCTGTGCACAAGCATTGTCCACCCACAACATTCAAGCATAGTTCTAGGGACCACGAAGAGATACAGAGGAAATCAGACTGTCTCCCAATGTTCCAGAATTCTGTGAGCTCACAGGGAACTCTATACCAGGTCAATGTAAGAATGCCTATAACAAGACACCAGCTGCACGCAAACATTATTGAACAAAGAACAGAAATGTGGGAGGCCATAGGGTAAAGTATGAAATACCCTGATGGAGCTAGTAGTCTTTGAGCTGGGTCCTAGTGAAGATAACATACTCAGACTGAGGGATCAAAGGAGTGATATGACAAACTAGTGAACCAGGAAAAGCTAAGGGAAAGTCAGCATTGTACACAGTACTAGAACATTTTCTTTACCCTAGCTGAAGTGTTAATATTAAAGAGGAAACCTCCAAGAGACTTCTAAATCCATCTCCAACAATATTCACATACAGTATGCAGAATAATTTGGGGGTACAAAGTCAACAGTGCAGAGTACTCTACTAGATATTAAACGAGATACAAAGTTTATTTAAAATGTGGTCCCTTAACTTCATGTAGCTTATAGTAGGAAACACAAGGCAGATAGATAGCATTGACGATAGAGCACCACCAGTTGTAGAGTCAGGAAGGCCTAAGTTCAAATCCTGCCTTAGACTTGGGTGACCTTGGACAAAGTCACTTTTGCCTTTGTTGCCTCATTTTCCTCATCTGTAAAATGGGTATAATAGCAGCACCTATCTCACAGGGTTGTTGGGAGGATAAAATCAGATAATTTTCTTTTTCTTTTTCTTTTTTTTTAGGCAATTGGGGTTAAGTGACTTGCCCAGGGTCACATAGCTAGTAAGTGGTAAGTTTTTGGTCTGAGGCTGGATTTGAACTCAGGTCCTCCTTACTTCAGGGCCAGCGCTCTATCCACTGCGCCACCTAGCTGCCCCAAATCAGATAATTGCATTGCAATTGCACTTTGCAAATCTTAAAGTACTATTTAAATATAAGCTATTATTACTCTTACGGGATGAAAAGGACAAAAGGAAATGTTGCCAATTAGGGGGTGGGGAATCAGCAAAGGCTTGGTACAGGAGGTGGCATCTGAATAGAGCCTTAAAAGATAGGTAGAATTCAATGGACCAAGTGGGGAGGAAGAACATTCCAGGCACAAGGAATAAACATTTCCCTTTGAAATTACCTTCTTTCTACTCTGTATAGTTTGTATATACAGAATTATTTACATGTGGCCTCCCCCATTAGAATGTTACTGAGTTTTTATTTTTCTTTGCATCCCCAATGTTTAGGACAGTGCCTGGCACACAACAAGCACTTAATAAATGCTTTCTGACTGATTAACTGTGAAGTTTATATTCTGATAGAACATAAGCACTTTGAGGGCAAAGTTTATTTCACTTTTTTCTTCGCATCTCTAGTTCCTATCACAGTACCCTTGGCACATAGTATGTACTTGGTAAAAAAATTTATAGTGCAGTGGATAGAGTGCTGAGCCTGGAGTCAAGAAGACCTGAGTTCAAATCCAGACTCAGACACTTACTACCTGTATGACCCTTCTGAGACGAGTCATTTAATCTGTTTGCCTGAGTTTTCTCAACTGCAAAATGGGATCATAATAGCACCTCCCAGATTGCTGTGAGGATCAAATGACATCATATTTGTAAAGTGCTTAGCACAGTGCCTGTCACACAGTAGTATGAGCTTAATAAATGCCCCCTTGATACCTTATGTGGTAGGCAATGAGAAGTCTCCTTCAGGTGAAATGAGGCCTGACTGAACCACATATCAAATTCTGACTTGGATGTCCAGGAAGAAGACAAGGTAGTAGTATCTTTCCCTAACTAGTCTGCCACTCTGATTCCAGGAAATTAGATATGGATACTGACTCCATACTCTAAATTTAGGCAAAGGGAGAGTAGGAAAAAAATGTGGCTAAAGGCAGTCCCCTAAAGACAAATAAAAATAGACAAAAACCCTCAGAGGCTTTGGTAATTCTGATCTGTAAATTCCAGCCAATGAAATAGTTTTGTTCCTACAACACTGTGTTTAAATATTAGTAACTCCAAACTCCTCTCAAGCACAATCATTCCAAAATTAGCTAGAATAGGGGTGGGGAACCTGTGGCCTCGAGGCCACATGGAGATTCAGTCAAAGGGCCTCCCTTGAGGACCTAGAGGGCCACTCATGGCCTCGAAACCACAGGTTCCCCACCCCTGAGCCAGAATATGCCCCTGTAGCTTTGGGCAGCCCAGTCTAAGACTTAGGGAACAAGCTTCCTCAGTTCAGAAGGCCTAAATGTGTCTCAACCCAATGCTGCGCTGACCTTTGGATAGGACAGATTCCGAGTGGGCAACTCCTCTGGTGTACATTGTACAGACACCCTGGACAGAATGCTATCAAGCAATTTCAGGAGAGCATTCCATATAAAGCAGGAAGCCAAGATAATTCATGAAATGGTTAAGAACAAGGATTTAAATAATGCACAACCCTGGGAACTTAGTCAATATAATTAAACAATAGCTGGCATTTATGTAGTACTTTAAGGTTTACAAAGTATTTTACATATGTACATTATATATCTCGCTTAATCCTCAAAACAAATCATTGGGTATGTAGTAATGTTATTACAGCCAAATATTTATTTAGTGTCTACCATTGTATGTAGAATACTATACTAGGTACAGCAGGAGATAAAAAGTTTTTGACACTGTCCCACCAAATTTAAGACTGGTAGAGGCAGAAACAAATACACATAAAATACCATAATGGCTCAAAAATACATTTTTACCAACATTAGGTGGTAAAATAAAGTGAGAGGTCTCAACAGGAAGGCTATTACCGATGAGGTGGTAGCATGTAATCAAATAAGGCTTTGTGAAGAAGATAGCATTTGAATTGGGTTTACAGTTTAATATGGGGATATGATCTTAAAAGTGAGTGGGAAATGGGGGAAGGTAAAGTGTAATGATTCCCTCTACAGCCCTTGCTTTATGCTTTGAATGGCCTTAGGTTAGAAAGCGACCGGATATTGGATTTAACCAAACAGATAGAGGAAGGGAAGAAAATAACCTCTTTCTAGAATATTTCAGGATGTCTGTGAGACTCCAGGAGGCTAAGATGTTTAAGGACAAGAGCAGAAGCTGAGGCTCCCACTTCCTCTGGTTCTTGCTCAAGAATCCCAGTAAACAGGTAAGCAGGCAACACTGAGACCACAATGAGCATAAGCTCTTATTGTAGCCAAAAGAATTTCAAAATCCCCATATGGAAATAAAGTACTGTTCAAGGCGTAGGATCACAAAGACTAAATGGTGATAGAGTATACAATTAGGACATATCCAAAGGCAAATCTAAAATGAAACAATCTCCTATTTAAGAAATGTGCCTACCATTCCATAGTTCAGTAGAGGGAGCCAAAGCTCCACGACATACCATTCATTCATTGCACAAGTATCTCAGACCATAACAATTTGATTAGGAGTAACTAGGGGACCTGAAGAGTCCATCTTTGACTCCTGGATGAGACTCTGACCATTCCCACTTCACAATAGCTGCTATTCATACAAAGCAACTTGTATCAAGATTATAATGAAGAGCAATTAAAAACTTTTCTGAAGAACTAACTAGCTTGAGTTTATGGTCTTAAATGATACTTATAATGGACTGTCATGTAATTTTGCATAAAACCCTTGGAAATGAACAGACTATTTCTTCATTTTATGCCACTTTTGACTCTGGTCAACTGGTTGTTGCTAATAGCCACATGGCAAAGGTCTTACACTAACAAATTTGGGAAAACAAACAACTTTTTTATTAGTAGCTTTGAATTTGGCTACTTGACTTTATAGTTCTAATGGGAGAAAGGATTTCTATTGTGGATGTACACACCTCTTGGTAAAATCTTTTGATATGTAATGACCACAATTGAAATACAACCTTTACTTTTGGCTTAATAGAACTATTCATACCTTCTGTTAATTTTAAAAATATTTTACATATAAATAATGTAATGAATTATCAAGAAATATCAAGAAATAATTCTTAAATGTTAAGAATGGTGTACAGAAATCACATAACCATGTGAACTTGGGCAGATCTCTTCACATTTCTGACACTCAGTTTCCTCATCTGTAAAATTGGGGTGGGGGAAGAGTTCTCTGACATTTTGTAGTGGGCTGAAAACTTGGTTAGAAGAAGAAATGGCAAATTAAGGAAGGAGAGTATTCTAAAAGGTAGAATTATAATTTGGCTAAAAGAAAGAACCTGGATATTAGCACCAGCAAAAGGCAATATTATAAACAAGAAAGTTATAAATAAAAACTATTGTATGCAGAAAAAGTTAGGGGAATATGTAGAATTCACCTAGATTTAATATATCATTAACCTAGCAAAACTTTTATAAAATGCTTGTCTAGACTCTAAAGGCAGTATATTCAAAGTTGCTGAATTTGGCAAGGAGAAATTTTAGAAGATACAAAAGTAGAGAACTCTATTAAATAAAGCTTTATGGACCTTATGAGATTAATTAAAACAAAAGATCATTTGAGAAGGCAGAGCAGCAGACCCAGTATAGCCAAGCTCCCTTCCACAAAACTCCTCCAGAAAGACCTAGAAAATGCACCAGACCAAATCCTGATGGGGAAGTCCAGAAAAATGTCATTTATCCA